AAGGCGGACACAGTGACCAACAAGAAGAGAGACAAAGGGAGACAAGCCGGACGGAAGTCGGACACGCTGTCCCGCAGCAAGGCGGACACTCTTAGAAGGCATTGAGAACCCCTAACAGCAGCCTGTTTGGGGAAAAAGTTAAGAAATCACATGGGAGTCAAATGAATAGAAATGCTGCAGGGGCGGCCAGCGGAAAAGGGCGGACACTAGCAGTGCAGGCACCGAACCTGGGAGATACAAGTAAAGAAATGGAGACAAATGAATAGAAATGCTGCATGGCCAGCGGACACCAGCAGTGACAGAAAGGGCGGACACATCTTAAGAAAGAATTGAGAACCCCTAACAGTAAACTGTTTGGGGAAAAAAACTCCAGTGAGACCTACTGACTGAGCGACAGGGGCACCGCAATACTATGTCGCAAGGTTTACAATTTTTGAAGACCGGATTGGCATGGAACTTCTGCCAACATGCAGGGATTCTACGAGATTCATAGAGTGATCATTCACAGTGCCAGATCCTAGATGCAGATCCAGGCAGAGGCAAGCACGTTGTTTTCTAGGCCAATAATAATTTACCTTAATCTCAAGGCATGCCAAGCAAGAAGAAAACCCTACTTCACTTAGACCTCACTACACGATATCATGCAGGAATCCAATTTCGACCAATGTTGCCACATGCTGGTGAGGTCGCGAGGTATTTTTTGTGTATTTTTGACAGGAAATGTTAAGCCGCACGTACTTTTCTCCACGCATATGTTTAGAGATTGGGGAGCCAAGCAACACCAAAAAAACTGACTCTTGAGGCTCTGAGGTGGATCTCATCACGCTAGCTCAACAGCAGCAGGGGATCAAGGACCAAGGAGAAGCAGAAATGAACACAAAGTACACATGTAGAGTTTCTTTGGGCTTCGGGGATGCCAACCAAGGTCGACAAATGTACAAATACGCAAATATGATGTTGCATGTCTGCTCTTTGGGGGCACATCCGGCACGTTAGTTTGCTGAGTTGCTGTTCGAAGTTGTGGACTTTGTCGCCCTGTTGAATGGACTGGACGACGGTGATCACAACTCCTGTGCCAACTGCCCCGACCTCTTTGAAACTTGCCTGAGGCATCTCGACAAATGAACTGCTTTGGTATGACAGTACTGCATGCCAAAGCTTGCCAACGCACTTCACTTCTGTCTTCACACTTCATTCCCGAATGACTGCTGAACACTTGTAGCACTGTTCAAGTTCTAACTACTTTGAAGCAAAGGCTAACGACGTGCCTCTCTCCACAATATCTCCGACAAAAATGAACTTTATACAAATACAGGTGCTGCCCAGTCTAGAACCTGGCATGCCAAGTTGCGACCTCTGCATCGAAATCAATGCGACGCCGCTCAACTGTCAAGCCCATGTCTGCGGCCAACTTCTCGAGACAACTATTCGTCACCGAATCCAAGACTGATTGGGAGTCTGGTGTCCTTGGCCCAAGCGACCACTTAGCAAAAATGTTGGACTGCAGCTTCAGTAGGGACGAAATTGCAATTGCATACAAAATCATACAAACATAAACAGCAAATTGGGCATTCTAAGTGTCAAGTAGACATTTGACTTGGTGATGGCAACAAAATTGGATGTACTGAACTCCTCGACGTAGCGGTGCTCCTTGGCATCAAGGTAAAGGCAAATGGGAAATCCCTGCTTCTTAGCCCTGGCGGCAGGCACAATATCTGCTGCGTAGTTTCCTGCACACTTTACTGCGCCAACACCCATTGGTGCTGCCCGGTCATAATCTTCAACGACAGTGGCAGGGACAGCCGAGCCGTAGTATGGCCCGACCGGAGACGCAACTACCTTGGTAACACACTTACTGTGCAGCTTAGATTTAAAGAGATACTCAACACGCTGCTCATTAACAATACATGGTATCAGCAAACAACTCAATGACCGGCTGCCATGAAGGTATACTCAGAGCTGGCACCCAGGCCTAGCTGTGGCCCGCTTCCAACCATAAATGGACGAAGATAAAGCGAAGCACCGCTTCCATAGGGCGGAACAAAGTCCAAGTTCGCCTTCACCACGCGGGTCAATGCTGCTTGGAACATCTCTGCTGGCATGGTGGGCATTCCCATTCGTTCAGCGCCTCTGCTCATCCTGACATGGTTCATCCTGTCGTTGAAGATTCGAACTTTCCCGTCTTTACAGTGAAAGGCCTTCTGCCCCTCAAAGATCGCCTGCCCGTAGTGGAAAACGTTCGCCAAAACATGCATTTTCACATACGGCTCTTCAACCATCTCACCTTCATCCCATTGTCCATCTCGCCACACGTGCTTGATGAAGCCATGTGTGTCCACTCGTGTGCCGAAGACGAGCTTCCCCCAATCCAAACCTGCACCACCGACGGTCTGCTCTTTGCGAAGCATCTGTCGGCAAGCGCAACGGTGAAACTTGACTGCGACTTATTGCCTTGAGCCAGGTACGCCTCCGCTAGCTGAGAGCAATGGGCAAAGCTATATAATAGATATAATAGGCTATATAGCTATACAGCATCGCAGAATCAAACTTCGAGTGACCCTGAGGCCAAAGGCCTTGAGCACATCACAAACTGCACATGTCTATCAGTCTACCGCAATGAGCCTAGATAAGTACCAAAATAGATTGACAAACTCGACATGTCTTTCTCTACACATCTCTGTCTTCATGTGCACTCTTCCCAGGCAACGGGGGTGACCCTGGAGCACCAACACTGTGCATCAGGTCTCGGAAGGCACGGTGGGCATCTGCGACATCTTTGATGCCAAAGCCACTGTAGTTAGGAACCTGCAGGGCAGTGAACGTAAGGATTGAATAAATTCAGCTGATAGTCCTGCCCCACAAATACCACCCGTTGTGCTTCATGTTCAGTGAGGACCCTCTGCAGCCCTCAACAGGACCTAGCACCTCAGTACAGGTACTTTCACGCATTTATGAATGGGTGTCTGTGGTGGTGGAATTGACAAGCAAACAATGGATGTGCTCAAGGCCGAGTCAGAAACAAAAACATGAAACAACTCAGTAAATATACAGCAGAAAGTGCGCCGAAACCTCGAATAACTCGGGTAAAATTCCTTGAAAGTCATCCATCTGCTGGATTTGCTTGCCTCAGATCCCAGTGTGACATGGTCACACCAGCAAGTGGCATGTCTAAAACGTGAAGCAGAATCAGCGGCAAGAGTTTGATGAGGTTCTTTACCAAGCTGCACAATTGAAACATGGGCTCTGAAATGCACCAAGCAAGCAGCGCTCCGATCACAAGCAAAATGAAGCCCACAACGAATAAAACAACAGATGATGTCATGCGTGCCTGCACCAAGCAGTGTGCAAGAAACAACACTGAATCTAGGAGACATTGTCCTTTTGATACACAGTTCTGAACTATTGGTTGGAGTCGGAGGCCATCGCTATTAGGTTGGAGGCCATCGCAATCGCTATTACATGCAGTTGGACAGTTGGACTTCGACAATTGCTGCCACAATCCTGACCTCCGAAAGAAGCTCAAAAGCACCGCCCCGAGCCACAAAAAACAAATCAAGCAAACTATATATGTGTATATATTTATGTTATATACAAATCAACGTAAATATATAAAATAAATATTATATATATATATATTGGGTGGCTGAGGGCTTTAGTGTTGCTAGTCGGGATCTCAAAGGATTGTCATTTTCAGCTGCACAGGGCTATCCTTGCTTTCCTTTTTCCCATTGTTTCCCTTCTTGAGCAACCAAGCTAGCCAGTATGCAGAAATAACCCAAGGCCTTGGAGCATGGGTGGCACAACCGGCGGGTGGAGGTAAGCACATTCTCTGAGACAGCCACACGATGTGAAGCTAAATACTCACCAGCGGTGAAGTTTGGACTCGCCACGAGTGAAACAAGGAAACATGACAGGCACATAGAGACAACGTGCTACACAAGGCCTGCCTTTATGCAGGTGAGCCATTCAGGAGAATGGCGCGCACCGTGCGCAAGCATTGTGCGTTCTGTTGTTTTTTAAGCCTGGCACCTGGAAACGATGGACACCATGGACACCTTTAAGTTTCGTGACCCTTTCGCCTGGTTGATGCTGTCGTGGGCAATGGCATTCATGTCTTCCAGAACAGCTAAAGCACTTTGCTGCGCAAACAAGGAATGTGCATTGAAGGTGCCATCGGCCACCACCGCCACCTAAGTCACTGCTGCGCGTCTTCAGTTTCACAGTTGTGAAAACGTTCCGGGTTTGAATGGTTTGGACTGGAGGGGCTGGACGGCTATTATATAATTGCAGAAAATACAAAAGCCACCAAGGATAATGACAATAGGCAATAGGGGCCAAGCCACCACAAGCCACCTCGTGAAGTTGCCCAGCTCCAACGACGAAGTGGCAAGATGTAGGCAATCCATGGCCCCTCAGGGAAAACATGGGTAGTGCAGTGCAAGGTTCCTCCAAAATAAGAGCGGCAGCGCGCACATGGGCAGCGGGTAGCGCCACCGAAACGGATATACCAATCTATTCCCTCGTGGACAAAGACCCACAAAGCAAGTGTAGTTTCACGAGGCGTTTCCCCCAAACACACAGACACACTCTGACATTGGTTTTCAGTTAACTCAATTTCTCGAGAAAAGGAGTGGCTCAGCGGCAAGGTGAAGAGTCCGATCAAATTGAAGGTGTTTTGAACACAAGGTTCGCGCGCATCTGCAGACTCGCGACAGCAGCGGGCGAGCGGCGGACGGCTGCACTGCACAAGCGGCTGAAAACTGCGGTGGGAAACCTGTTTGTGGGGAAGGTATCGTGTGGAACCACCATGGAAACAAACAAGGAGTGGAGTCACAGCTTGCAGAAAAGTTCTCGTAGCAGGTACGTCAGTTCCGCGTCCGGAACTGATATCCTCACCATGTATTGCCAGCTTCGTTGATGGAAAAGCAATACAGGTGTCTCCATCCCCTGCCTCATGGAGTGGTTGTAGTAGTAAACCGTGGCATTGAACCCTTCGGTACAGGGGGTGACACACACAGATCGCCGTGATCGGCGCTTTTTCCCTTCAAAAACCGGCTAATGTAGCGTAAAAGTGGTAGTTGTGGAAGTTGTGAAGTGAAAAGTGGTAAGTCCATGCAAGTCGAATTAAGCGTTCGAAATGAATCAAATCGCTCAGCTTGAGGAAGAAAATCACGAAAAATAGAGTTCAAAGCTGATACAAAACTGATGCAGGGTGGTAGCTGCTGATGTCCCGTTTTTTGGCCCGGCGGCCGTGGAGGCAGTAAATTCAGTTAAGGTGGGTCCAGTGGTGAATTCCGGTGAAGGTGGAAAAGCTCAGTTACACGATTTCCGGCATGAATTCAGCGCCCCAGTGACGGGGATCACACTCAGCACCCGAGTGGGACGGCTGAGCGAAACACACTCTGACATTGGTTTTCAGTTAACTCAATTTCCCGAGAAAAGGAGTGGCTCAACGGCAAGGTGAAGAGTCCGATCAAATTGAAGGTGTTTGAACACAAGGTTTGTGCGCATCTGCAGACTCGCGACAGCAGCGGGCGAGCGGCGGACGGCTGCACTGCACAAGCGGCTGAAAACTGCGGTGGGAAACCTGTTTGTGGGGAAGGTATCGTGTGGAACCACCATGGAAACAAACAAGGAGTGGAGTCACAGCTTGCAGAAAAGTTCTCGTAGCAGGTACATCAGTTCCGCGTCCGGAACTGATATCCTCACCATGTATTGCCAGCTTCGTTGATGGAGAAGCAATACAGGCGTCTCCATCCCCTGCCTCATGGAGTGGTTGTAGTAGTAAACCGTGGCATTGAACCCTTCGGTACAGGGGGTGACACACACACACACTTATGGATATGCGTACTGATGTGAATGCGGTGCCACACGCCGGCCTAAGAACCCAAATCCTGAAAGGTCCAGGACAATCCTAAAGGGCCTGGGGGTCTTCAAAAGGAAGTGGGGCCAAACGCACAAGTCGAAGTCGAAACGACAGGGTGGCGACGGCCGCTCACATCTGCAGATGCACTAGCACTTTACAAAAGAAAAGGAAGAAAGGTGGCCACCAGCTGCGTCTTACAATGCGCCCAGGTGCACCAAGCAGGTACGTTTTCACGACAGCTTGGATGGGTCTTCGTTGGCCCATGCCATCCAAGTGTCCATGGGCCCCCCTGCTGCAAAATCGGAAGCAAAAGCAAAACAAAACAATCCGAAAGGATCCCTGTCATTCCAAGGGTTACACACACACGCCTCCCCGAGGGGGTGCAAAATTGAGGCTAGGACACAAGTGTAAATGTGCGCGCAGCAAAAACAAGAGAATGAAGACATGAGAAGGAAGACGACACGGGGCAAGAGTGTGTGTGTGTGTGTGGTTGCGATGAAAGAGAAACCAAGTGCACAGGGACAACCGATGAAACCCACCTCATTGTCGAGACCTGGGCGACCTAACACCTGAGTTGAAAGTAGATGCGCGCGTACACACTAAGGCCCGGACCGTTGTACGCGCAAAAGAACGAAAGGAATGAGATGAAAGGACATGAAGCAAGGGAAGACATGAAAAGAAAGAGGAAAAGAAGTATGCGAAGGGGAAAGGGTGCAAGGGGAACCAAATGGAGGGGACGGGAACCGATGAAGCCAGACCTCATTATAACAACCTAGGAAGACCTGCCTCTTTAAGGTGTGTACGATGTATGTGCACCTAAGCCGCCGACAGGTTCCAATGAACCTAAAACTGGCGTTGACCGCTGTGGTCACCTTGTGCCTTGCCGAAATGGCTGGCTGCTTTGACCGCTGCGGTCACGTAAAGGCATGAGCCAACTTGGAATTCCAAAGATGAGACAAAAATCATCGTACGTACGGCCTAGGCCACCTTCGCCCGCTGTGGGCACTTACGTTTCCAAAGCAAGGGAAACAAAACCCCCGTTCAACGGGTCCACGGGAGGCACTCTGCGGGCTCATCCCGGACTCTCACTGGGAGAGGCACACTTATGGGTATGCGTACTGATGTGAATGCGGTGCCACACGCCGGCCTAAGAACCCAAATCCTGAAAGGCCCAGGACAATCCTAAAGGGCCTGGGGGTCTTCAAAAGGAAGTGGGGCCAAACGCGCAAGTCGAAGTCGAAACGACAGGGTGGCGACGGCCGCTCACATCTGCAGATGCACTAGCGCTTTACAAAAGAAAAGGAAGAAAGGTGGCCACCCGCTGCGTCTTAGAATGCGCGCAGGTGCACCAAGCAGGCACGTTTTCACGACAGCTTGGATGGGTCTTCGTTGGCCCATGCCATCCAAGTGTCCATGGGCCCCCTGCTGTAAAATCGGAAGCAAAAGCAAAACAAAACAATCCGAAAGGATCCCTGTGATTCCAAGGGTTACACACACACACTTGAGAAGAGTGCTCCGTAGAGCGTAGCTTCAGAAATTCGCAGTGAACATTAGCCCTTTAAGTGAATACTCAGCACTTGACTTGCAGAACCGTAAGAGCGAAAAGTAAGCGCAACTGAATGTTTGAACAAACGCATTAGCACTTTATGAAGGATTAAAAATTTTTGCAGGTACGTGACTTCGGCGTCCCAAAGTCATTTCACAACACGATGGAAGGGTCTTCGTTGGGCAATGCCTTCCAAAGTGTTCATTGTTTGCCTGCTGCTGTACAGGTATGAGACGATGGAAGAAAATAGAAAGATAGATAGGTTAGTTAGTTCCCTTTGGGACAGGGGTTGACACACACCATGAGCCGTGTCGGCGCTGCTAGTAAGATTCTGGATGGCCGCAACGCTGCAGCACAAAGTGCGCTTGACCTGCTTCTTTTCTTTGTCTTTTTCCCGAAAGCATTGCGAAGGGTTCTTCCGGAAAATCTCTTGAACACTTCTACACTTACATTACACTTGAACACTTATACACTTACACTTCTATGCTTACAATGGCACAGAAGTATCCAAGTGAAAG